CCCTCCCTCCCAGCACTTTTGGAGCACCACAAATCACCTGATTCGCACTCCTTCCCTGCTACTCCGCTCCAGCGTTCGCAACTGTTCAAGCTCTGAGGGAGAGGAGTGAGAATGGGGCATAAATCAGGTGATTTGTGGTGCTCTGAATGGGCTGGGAGGGAAGGAAAGGAGTTGAAAGTGCAGGGCCCAAGTGCACAAGACCCTCCCTCCCAGCACTTTTGGAGCACCACAAATCACCTGATTCGCACTCCTTCCCTGCTACTCCGCTCCAGCGTTCGCAACTGTTCAAGCTCTGAGGGAGAGGAGTGAGAATGGGGCATAAATCAGGTGATTTGTGGTGCTCTGAATGGGCTGGGAGGGAAGGAAAGGAGTTGAAAGTGCAGGGCCCAAGTGCACAAGAGGCGTGTGGGGGAAGGAGGCAGACAAAGGGTCTGCGATCCACAGTTGGAGCCCCATTGGACTGCATGTGGGATGTAGGTTGCCCACTTCTGTTCTAGGTGCTACAGTACTACAAATAATTTTCCACCAATGAGAACAGCATAATCAATGGCAGTGTAAACTTCTTTACATCCTTGCCAAAGTATCTCAGACTTGACCATGTGAGCTCAATTTGGAGGATGTAAGCTATATTTTGTACCCTTTCTGTTCAGACTTCTGGCCTGTCCACTAAAATTGTCAATAGAGGGTACCAGTTGTGATAATAGTACTGTCCTCTAGGAAGTTAACTGAAATTTATGTCATTTCATACAGGCCACAATATGCTCATTCTATGATAATGATTTTTGGTTTCTACCAGGTTGGGCTGGACCCAATAACTGACCTGAAAGTGAAAGGTACCTTTATCCTATACGTGAAAGAGACTGACCGGTTTTGAACATAAAATTTTTGAGGCTTTTGTATATCGCAAAAACTGCTGTCTGTATTTTTAGCAACAAACAACAAATACTGTAGAGGAGCCACTGGATCTGATCAGACTCAGTCTAGATGAACGAATCTATGTGAAAATGAGGAATGATCGAGAACTTCGAGGCAGATTACATGTAAGTAAAACACTGCAGAAAGATTTAGTACTAGTATACTTTTAACCATTGAAAGGTACATCTAAAAGCCCAGGCAAATTATACGCTTGGGCTACGTCTAGACTGGCATGATTTTCCGGAAATGCTTTTAACGGAAAAGTTTTCCGTTAAAAGCATTTTCGGAAAAGAGCATCTAGATTGGCATGGACGCTTTTCCGCAAAAGCATCCATGGCTAATCTAGACGCGCTTTTGCGCAAAAAAGCCCCGCTCGCCATTTTCGCGATCGGGGCTTTTTTGCGCAAAACAAATCTCAGCTGTCTACACGGTCCTTTTGCGCAAAAGGGACTTTTGCCCGAACGGGAGCAGCATAGTATTTCTGCAAAAAGCACTGATTTCTTACAGTAGGAAGTGCTTTTGCGGAAATTCAAGCAGCCAGTGTAGACAGCTGGCAAGTTTTTCCGGAAAAGCAGCTGATTTTCCGGAAAAACTGGCCAGTCTAGACACAGCCCTAAAGATTGGTTCTATTGTGGTATACCAGTCAAGTTCATAAGTTTTTATTTAAAGAGTATAGAAATTTCTTTTTTTGCCTGGCACATGTTATCTGAGTGTTTCTTGGTATCTATAAAATTTAGAAATTCATGTCTTCTATTTTGTTATCTTAGAATGACAAGGTGCTGGATTTTCTTTCCTACCGTTACTGGGTGTCTTTCCAACATGATGGTTTAGAAGAAATCTAGTTGAAACTAGTTTATAGTAGTGTTACTTAATGGCTATAAAATGAGACTGGGACTCAGCAGAACCTGGGTTTGTTTCTCACTTCTGCAACTGAGCTCTTGAGTGACCTTGAGCAAGTCACTTTAGCTCTCCATGCCTCAGTTTCCCATCAATAATAATATTGAAACATTCTCTAAAAGTAATGGTATTTGGGCTCAGGCTCATGTCTGACTATTTCCAGTGAAGATGACCTGCCACTTACTCTCAGAAGCTGATATTTGCGATGTGGTATTGTCCTCAAATTCCAAAGGGTCTACTCCGCAGATAAAAATTTGGAAATGGCTTCAGCACCAGTGTGGTTGGTGGCATGTTGGTGTAATGCATTCAGATTGGTCATCTTTGCTTAGGCCTTCTGAGTGCTACCGTAGCTAAAATTCTGATGCAGCTTACTGGTTTGGACCCCAGTAGATCCAGTTTCAGTGGGCATACTGGAGATTAGGGATATAAATGTGTAACCGGTTACCCAGTAAGCATTCCCCTTAATGGGAAGTAGCAAGGCTGGAACAGCCCTTGCCTGCAGCACACGGGCCACTCCAGCCCAGCCATGGCGGGTGAGGGACCACTCCAGCCCAGTGAGTTGGGGGAGTGCCCTCAACCCACTCCCTTTAATCAGCTAACCAGTTAAATGGAATTTTACATGCCTACTGGAGATGATATTTGTGTGGATTTTTATGGTTCATAAATGTCTACATTAAGAGTCATATTAAAGCATTTGCTTAGGTTCTTTTATGACATCTTGAAAGCTTCAAATCTGTTTCCTGTAAGAACTTTTATTCCATGAATGCATAGGTGTTGTGTCACTATACTACTAAGTTCTTCCTTGGTGGCTTAATGGAAAAAGCTCATTGCATTTTCTAAGGAATA